TTTTTCTGTATGCTTGCCTTTCTTTCAAATGTGAATATCTTCAATCAAAACTCCAAGGAATGAGGGTCTACAAATCCTTTTTTTTTTAAAAATTTAGGTTGTTTATTTTTCATTTCAATGAACATCTACAGAGATTTTGGAATTCCATTCATTCATTGTTGCACCCTTCTCCCCGCACAAACCCCTCCCCCCTCCCCGTTTGCTCCTCTCCTTGAAAAGCAAAAGAAAAACTCCCTCATTGGTACACAATCCCCCCACACCTCCCCAAACCCCACGCCCTACCCCCAAATATAATCCACTCTGCAACCCTCATTGCATACTCCTACGATAAAAATAATGCCCTAAAATATAATACTTTTAGACTATTCTCTCCCCCATAGACTTCAATGCCGTAAACATATTTCATCCAGCTTTTCTCAGTCTTACCCCCACCCCAATGCCAGCCTCATTCTACAACAGTGGCACCATATAGCATTTGTCCCTTTGTGACTGAGATACCTCACTCAGCATAATGTCCTGCAGGGTCACCCATTTTGAATAATATTGCATGAGTTCCTTGTTTTTCAATGCAGCATAGTATTCCATTGTGCGAATATACCACAGCTTCTCTACCCATTCATTTGTTGATGGGCATCTAGGTTGTTTCCAACTCCTTGCTATTGTAAACAAAGCCGCGATAAACATGGGTATACATATATCTACTTGGATGTCATTTATGGTCTCTTTAGGGTAGTGGAATTGCTGGGTCAAATGGTATCTTTATTTGCAACTTTTTGAGAAAGCGCCACAATGCTTTCCACAGTGGCTGCACCATACAAATCCTTTTAAATGTAAATATACTCAGAGGGCTGGGAGGGACTTAATCTTTTTCCCTAGAGTAAGCCTCAGGACCCACTACCAAATTCTACTTTCAACCAGCTTAGCTCCAGGGCAGATCTTCCCTTTTAGACTTTTTAAAAAAATGTTAAGTACATGCAGTGTGACAAATATGAAAAGACAAACTGTTACGCAGATGATGAGAAATTCAACAGCTATGTTAGTATTTGGGTCCAGAAAATTATATCACAACAGCTCTTCTCACACCACTGAGATAAATAATATTTGCCTCCTGCCCACAAATAGCCACTCTCTTGTCTTTTAGCACGATTAGTTTGAAAGAAATCACATAGTATGTACTTTTCTGTGCCTTGTTAAGGTTAACAGAATGTTGCGAACACATCCATGCTGCCATGTATAGGCTCGTTTACCATCAAGTCTGAACTGACTCAGAGCTGAACTTCCAGCAAGTTTCCAAAGGCAGCAAATCCATGAGAAGCGATTGTGTCTCTTTCTTTCATGGAGCTGCAAGTGGATTTGAACCATGTACTTTCCTGGATGCCAGTTTAGTTGATTGATTTTCACTGATGTAGACAGACCACTAGAGATCGTCTCACTTTGGGAATGTTGTCCAAAGGGGTCAGTGCTTGGAAAAAGACATCATGAAAGATAGAGGGGTAGAGAAAGAAAGACCCTCAAAAAGATGAATTGACACAATGATTGCAAGACTGTGCTGGCACATGGCAGACATGGACGTCCCGACCATGACACGAGAGAGGGCAAAGTTCAGACCTGTTGTTCACAGGGTCACAATGCCCTCTCAATGGTCCCTACCATCAACAACAAGATATCTGTTTATTCATCCTGTCTATCGTTGGACATGGGAGCTGTTTTCACTGTAAAGCCACTACAGATAATTCTGCAATAATACAGGAATGTGAACATTCCTGTACACATATTTTGGCATCCAAGTGCCTGCTTTACTGACAGCTGCTTTCTTAGAAGCGCAATACTGAGTCATAAAATATTTGTATGCAAAATTTTAGTGGGTAATGTGAGTTTTTATAGAGATCATTCTAATTGACATTCTCAATGGCATGGAATGAAAATCCTATTTACTCCGTATTTTTTCTACATTTGGTGGTGGTGGTTGTTGATTGCCATCGAGTCAAGCATGACTCATAGCGACCATATGAACAAAAGGCCTGGAGCCTTCCTATAACTATGGTCATTTATCAAAGTTTGTAGTTTCCAGACGCATTTTGTTGCAGAAGTGAATGCCACTATGCCACTCCCTTGTCCCCTCACTTCAGTCCTTCTGATTGGCATTCAGGCCTCTCATAGGAACCTTAATCTCCATTACCTCTAGTGGTAATGGAGGGCGTTCTGGTGGCTCAGAAGTAAGGAGTTGTGCTGCCACTAGTCACTGTGAGGGGGAAAGAAGGCAGATCTCCTGTGTGATTGACAGCCTCTGACAATGCACTGGAGGGTCAGCTATGAGTTGGTTCTGACTCAACTGCACATAACAACAACCAGAGCCAACAAGGTTGAACATTCAACTAGAGAAAGCATAACCATGAACTTGTCCCTGAATAGCCACCACCATGCCTTCTGGGACCACTGATTCGCTTGACCAATTTTAAGCTTTAAATGAATTGTATGCACTTTTTGGTGACTTGCTAAGGTAGTGAATATGGGAGTCGGGCAAACCTTGACTAGGGTCTAGAGTCGAGGATTCTAGGGTCCAGAAAACTTGGGCAAGAAGAGTATTGTATCTCAAGCAATCCCAGTTCAGTCGCTTACCAGCTGGGTGACTTGGACAAAGCAAGTTCTCTCTGGTTCTGCTTTCTCAGGTACAAAATAACGAAATGGTCACCAAGATCTAATAATATATTAGGCTATCGTGAGGAAGTGTAAGCTGCTTAGCTGAGTATCACGTATAGAATAACAAATTCTCAAGCAAAATTTGCTATTTATACAATTCTGAAAAATAATACCAGTCGTATTCACTATCATTATTATTACTTTCACTATTTATACTGTTGTGTTTACTTGTTGGTCCAGATGGAACACACATGCTGTTTTCTAGTGGAGGCGAGAATTGGGAACTTCAGTAAACAGACCTGTACAATCAATGAAAACAAGTGGCTTCCCAGTTCATTCTGACTCACGGGACCCTCTGTGTGTCACAGAACTGTGCTCATAGAAGAGCAGGGTTGTCAGTGACTGGCTTTTAGGGTACAGATCACCAAGACTCTCTTCCTAGGCACTGCTGAGTAGACCTGAACCTTTTGTTCTGGGAGCCTTGTGTTTGACAACCCAACGGGCTGTCTACACCACCAAATGACCCTTGTGTATTTCACCAGACATTACTGATCTGTGCTGATGTGGTTCAGACAGCTTCCAACCAGTGGTCTGCCATTTTTATGACACCTTTTCCATTTACTTAATAGAGAGAAGCAGAGTTGGTTTACATCACCGAGTGATAAAATATGTGTGAGAAAAGCTTTAGTGGTTGGAAAATAAGTGTTTACTAGAAGAAGGATGATGTCGTAAGAAAGGCACAGTGCAGGTGCTCTTCCGTGGACCGGCTGTGAGGTGCTGGGCAAACGACTGACTCTCCCCAACCTCAGTCGGCTCAAGTGCTAATTGTGGATCATATTAACTAATTCACGGCTCTATAATAAAGAGCATCTAACAGGATGGTGTGGCTTGAGGTGGACTATCAATAACTCTTTGGTCCCTTCCCCACAAAAGGATATAATAAAATGCCTCATTAAGAGAGGCCTAAGTGAAATCTGTGGTTTCTCCCTTTTTATGTGAAGGTATTTCAGACCAATTTTCTATTCTGGCAGAGCTCTTTACCTTATCTATTAATTTATGCTGAGGGCATAGCTGATTTAAAAGTTAATTACATGGCATATTATTTTTAGGTTAGAGAGAATAACATTCTTTGGTTTCCTAAAAGATGGCTGGTTATACTAAATGGAACACTGTCTCTTTTATTCAATCCAGGTTACCTAGATGACAAGCCATCAGATACCATCCATGGAGAGAAAGCTCTGACGTCTGACAGCTGGAATCTAGTCAGTACCATTAAACCTCATTGCTATAACCCATGGCAATCCCCTGAGTCACAGAGTAGAACTCAGCTCCATAGGGTCTTCTGGGTGTATCGTACTGAGGGGAGTTACGGTGGCCTCATAGGTAAGGAGTTGCACTGCTAACACTAAGGCAGGCTGGTTCGAATCTATCTGTTGCTGCCTCTGCAGGAAAATGATGGGCAATCTCCTCCTGTGCAATTTACAGCTTCTGAAAACCTGCTGGAAAGTCCACTATGGATCAGTCCCACCTCAACAACAGTGACAGAGAAGAGAGAGAGCCGAACAGAAGCACATCTCTAAGACTTTCTCACCGGGGGCCCAAGGGTGAGTTCAGATGTCAGTCTTTCAGTGAACGATGTTGTTGTTAAACCATTTGCACCACCTGAGAGACTTCATATCAATACATTTTATCCTAGCTTATCAAGGGGTTAGGTTCCAAAGATCAGATTGTAACAGGAAAATTAATGTTTTGTGGAAATGGAGGCGATGAACTATCAGATCAGAAAGTGGAGGATGAATAAATGCATCATTACACAACTGCCAAATTACAGCATAGAGCATCACTGTCTATGTGTCTCATTGTGGGACTGTCAAACCATTAAGAATCACGCCCCATCAAGGTGACGCTTAACCAACTGGGCTCAGCCCAGCTAGTAATAGCTTCCCTTGTACCTCAGCACCATCATTGCTAGCCATCCATTACGGATGTAGAAACTGGTTGAAAAGTAATCTTTCACTATTGGCATAAATGCAAAATATTAAATCAAAGAGTAAGTGGAGTAGGTGCCATATAGTGTCTGAATAAACACGTCTGTAAATGTTTTATAAGCCTCTATCCATCCACCCATCTATCCATCCATCCATCCATCCATCCATCCATCCATCCATCCATCCAAACTGAAACGAAAAACTACTGTCAATATTGACACACACACACAATAAAAAGCATCCCACAACATAAAATCACTTCTCTTTTTATATCTCTTTACAGCACTAAAAAGTCAATGTCAATGTGCAGTTTGGCTTTTCAAACATCCCCTTTGATATCCATTTCAATGGGCCAAATAAACAAACACTTACTGTATGCACATCCAAACACCTCGATTCGCATTCCAATTCTGCCCTTGGGGTTCCACTCCAAAGGGATGAAGCGGAGAAACTTGGCTTTGATAGACGGCTGGAGTCTATAGTACACAACACTGTCTGCATTTGTGTTTCCTGAAAATCCCTAGAGGAAATGGGAAAGAAGGAAATGACTGTTAATGTTATTTATCTCACGTTGTCACCTATAATTTCAATAAGCAATGTCTAGTTTGCTTTTTTTGCTATGAAAATGGATGCCTTCCTTAAGAAAAACCTTATTTATGATTATGACATAAATGGTTTTCCGAGTGCACAAGCTAACATTGCCTAAATGCTTCTTTCTATTACAAGTAGTTTAAATTCCATGACCCCATTACACTGGCTTTCAACTATGATACCCTCAATAAAGTTTACGTCTACAAAATGCAGATTAAATGTAAAAGCGTGTCACATCTCTAGTCATTAGCTGCAAACGGCACCCCCAAAATGGAGAAGATTTTCTAAAGCCATTCTATTCATCTGCAAGGAACGTGCTTACGTCACTGAGGAATGAATAAACTTACGGCATAATGTTTATTGTGATTTGCATGAAAGTTTACTAAGCAAATTGGGTTTTCCAACACATTTGGTTTCATAACATTAATTTCAGTACTCACTATATGATCGTACTTTCTCCCTTTCCCCCTGTGCAATTCTCACTTCCGTCAGTCTTCTATTTTACCCTTTCCTGTCTTCGAGGCTCTCTCATGCTCTTTTGACCCTATATCACTGACTATTAGAAGGAGTTAATGTCTCCTGGCTGACAGTGGGCACTGGATAAGCCTGTGTATTCTTTTACTGACAGCTGAGCCAGGGGGGTGAGCTTTGTTCCAGGCTCAAGTCTGGCTAAGGGCCATAGTCTCAGGATTTGACCTGTCTCTATCAGATTATGGCATATTTTTATTGTTTGCTTTTCTCATCTTACGGAGCTACATACAACAAAATATTGCCTAGAATCCATTTAAAAAAGAGACTTCAATGAACTTCACCAGTGCACTGTGTGATATGCATATTTATTGGAAACTATAGCACTTTGGGAATATGTATAGACTGATAGTGTAGTTTGTAAGGGCTTGTGCTGTTAACCCAAAGATCATGCCTTTCTGGTGGTGTGAATTCACCAGCAACAACTTGGATAAAAGAGAAACACTTGTCTCCGACGTGCTTTACACCCTGGAAACACAATGGCAGGTCAGCCGTGATTCTATTTGGAATCAACGGCAATGAGTTTTGAGTTGATAAGACTTAAGTTGGAAGCTTAGAGGAATCATGAGGGGACTGGGTGACTAGTAAAGCCGAACAGCAGAAGAGGAAATCAGGAAAGGCCAAAGACATGAAAGCAGCTCTGGAGTTCCCACAGCTGCTAGGCAGGACAGCCTGCAGTGATGTCCTGTGCGTGTGCCCACTTCATTCTTGGGAATTCTGGCGATTCAAATCCAACAAAGTTTCCTCGGGAGAAAGATGGGCGATCTCCTTCCATGAGACACAGAGGCTTCAAAACCTGATGTCAGCAATGATGAGTTGGTCCCAACTTGACGGCAATGACTTTGAGGTTTGTTTTTTTGTTTTGTTTTGTTTTGTTTTCATTTGACTCACCCCCCAAGGTACGCCCGATGCAGCACCTGACACCCAAACACTTCTGATGTGTCCTCGCAGGCTTGGAATGTGTTTCAGGAGGCAAGAAGCCAGAACCAGCAAAAGAAGTGGTTCTCAAAGATTATATTTACATTTTAATTTATTCCTCTCTTAAAACTGTAATCACCAGCATTAGAAAGAAAAAGAAAAGCAACAGTGTTGCTACTTTATACAGATCTCCGTATGGTCTGCTGCTTCTTAGTATTTCAAGACTTGAATAAAATAATCACTAACAATGGGATGGAACTTAGTGACCAGGGCTGCTGACGTCTCTCTGACATGTCCTCATCTTATTGTTCTAGTTTATATTCTTCATTTCCCTCACTGTTTAAAGGAAATTTTGTTTGTTCTTGTTATTCCATTAGAATACACACAAACAAAACAGAGCATTGGCACCATATTAATTCCTTCTTATAGCCACTCTGAGTGACAGTAGAACTTTCCCCATAGAGTTTCCAAGGCCATGAATTGTTATGAAAGTAGGCCATCACTTCTTTTTCCCAAGGATAAAGCTGGTGAGTTTGAACCTAAAAGTTTTGGTTAGAAGCTGAGCTCTTAGCCACTGCACCACCAGGGCTCCTCATTATTATCCAAGTTCTATCAAAGCAGGGAGTCTTATAACCATAAGTTAAGCTTAAAAACAAAACAGAAAGATGGGCTTAATTACAGAGAAGTGCTTAATTTTACATATCTCCAGAAAATTCTAGTGTTCCCAGCGTTAAAATTTGATCCTGTGGGTTTGGTAAGAAAGGGTTGCTGTGTTCTGTATTGCACTGTTCAATGGTTACTCCCTAGCCGAACTACAGAGCATCACAACATCACAGTCTCCCCTTTGGTTGAAGCTATCAACTGTGGATGTCCATTTCTTCCAATTTTGTTCTTAAAATAGTGATACAGCTTCATCTAGAACAGGCTTTGCTCCCCCACGTCAGTGTGTTGTGCAGTCAAGGTGGAGAAATCTGGTCTCCAGATTGTCAGTCCTAATCAGATTTCTTATACTTTTAATTCTATTGTGCTGGATGCAGCTGGCAGGCTAATCCAATCTTTAATTATGATTTCTTATCATGTCAACAGCTGCATGATTCCTTAGAGAGCCCTCTAAAAGACCCCACAGTTTTTTCAAATTAATGACAGTTCACAATTTAGATAGATATCACTATGAGGGTCTTAGCATCATAAAGAACCAGGGGAAAGATGTTCATGTTAGAGACGAGAGACGGGTGAATGGAATGGGGACGCTGGAGAACAGCAACGTTTCCCTTCTTGCTTGAGAAATTTTTAGAGTTATTTAGACTGTCAAAGACATAAATAAGAACTAGAAGACGCATCATCAGGGTTGGTAATGAAAACACCTTAATGAGTACATTTTAAAAACTTTAGCAGCCATTTCTTAAAAAGCTCAAGTTTTAAGGGAGGTGGTGAGGCAGGGGATGGGTATATAAATCTTTTCTTTAACATATTCCAGTGATATTTTTATTTAATGAGAATGTATAAATTTTACAAAAATTAGTAGACTAGAAATGTAGAGACAGGAGGTGTGCACGATGGCAAAATAGGCAGAAGAGTTTCAGTTAGTCTCATGCTGCTGTTGTTGCTGTAAGGTGTCATGAAGGCAATTCAGGCTCATACCCTTCCTCTTTATGGGAGACAGACAGATGGATAGATAGGTGGCCAGGTCCTGCCATCTCCAATGTGCTGAAGTCCATTGTGACAGTCACTGTGCAAAAACTTCTCACTGAAGGTTTTCCTCTCCTCCTCTAACGTTCTACTTTTCTAAGTTTGGACACACACACACACACACACCCATGCCTCCTGATAACAAAGTATGAAGACAACATATCCAAAGTAAGATGAAGTCTCACCATCTCTGCCTTTCAAAATCACCCTGGCTGTGCTTCTTTCAAAACAAATTTGTTTATTCTTTTCTTTTGACAGTTCGTGGTATATTCAGCACGCTTCTCTAACGCCACAATTCAAAGGTATAAATTCCTCCTCAGTCTTCTTCATTTATTATCTAACTTGCACACACATGGGAAGCAACTGAAAATGCCCTGGCTTGGGTCAGGTGCACCTTAGTCTTTACATTTACATCCCTGCTCTTTATAGCACTTTGAAAAGGTCCTCAGCTATAGATTTGCCCAGCATGAACTATCTTGAGTAACAATTCTACCTTATCTCGAAAAGCACGCAACTTTTTAATTACTTCAAAAGACAACCTTGTATTCATTTTGACAGCTAGATGACACAGATATTAAATATATTAAAGCAACAGGCTGACTGGTGACAGTCAGATCATGAGTTTATAATACCTGCTTATTAAATGTGTTGAACTTCAAGTTAGTATTCACATGTTGAAATATTTTAGGTCAAAACCAGCAAATATATCAGATCACTACCAAAGATTATGCTTTGAATTTAAATATTTGTTTATTTTCTACTAGTTTATTTACAAAATTCAAATATATTGTTTTCAAGGACAAATTCTTTCCATTTGAATTTAAATATTTATTATAATTTCCACCCCCTCCCTCAGAATTTCTATGAATGAAGCATGGTGTTGCTATTGTAACAGTTGAAAAATCCAACGTATAAGATCAGGTTCCAGTTGTAATTGGTTGCCTAGGAGATTTTCCAGGATTTTCTAGTCAGGTCTTTTATTTTCACTCTGTAATAATTCCTAAATGCCCTCTCCCTTATGTTTTTTTATTTAAAAAAATTAGTGATAGGTACTTACATTTATTTATTTTTCTAAAGGGGTACTAGTCATGTAGTGCATTACACGGTGGGTTGCAACTGAAAAGTCAAAAGTTCAAATCCACAAGGCATTCAGTGAGAGCAAGACAGTGTCCTTCCTTAAAGATTTACAGCCTCAGAACCTCAAGGTAGGGCCATTATGAGTTATAAGGCATTCGAGGTAGTAGTTTTTATATCACATATTCTGAATTTTCATGTGCGCCATTATTTACCTCGAAGGCGAACTATGGAAATTCAGATTTTCATGTCTTGCATTTTGCTACCAAAATCTGTGGTTAGAAGGAAGCTCTGGAATCTGGTCTATATTTTAAATGAAACCCCAAAATAAAATATACTGCTGCCAAGTGGATTCCAACTCAAAGTGACCTGACCCTGTAGGACAGAGGAGAGTTACCAACCAGCTTTGCAAAGCTGTAAGTCTTTATAGAAGCCGAATGGCATGTCTGTGTCCAAATATGCAGCAGGTGGATTTGAACCACCAACTTTTTAGGTAGCAGCCAAATGCTGTTACCATAACTGTCAACAGGGCTCCCTCATTTTTCACGAAAGCCTAGCTAATTAGGCTCTTCGGGGAAGCAATCATTTCAGGAGAGACTGACATAAGCAGCCAAAGGATTCCGTGCTGTCCATGTTTTTAAAGGGTTGAGTTGTGGTGCAGTTTGGGGACACCACGAATTTTTGTATTAACACTGTGAAGTAGATATTATCAGGACAACT